GACATGGGTGCTTTCCAGTCCCTTAAAATGTATCATTTTGCAAATAGAGTTTTAACTAAATTTCCAAAAGACTTGTAAATGGTCAATTTAATGGTCTTATTTCACATGCCTCTTTCTCTGTAATGACAGCTTCAGTGAGAACAGTCCAAAAAGTTATTAATAATGCATGGTTCCCTTCCATTTCTACAGGGAACTCCTACCATTACTATACTAAAAGAAATTTTCTCTAACTGGTCATCAGAAGTAACTGGTAACATAAGCCCAGTAGTCCTGACTATGCTGGGGGAAAATGAATCTTTAATCAAGGGTAAAAGGGAACATTTTCAATGACAACCTTGTTTTTTTAACCATTTAAACAAATTTTCCAATAGAAAACAGTATTCACAAGACCTTTAATTTAAAAATAATACAGACAATACTTATACTCCTAGAGAATACATGCAAAACTCTTCGACATAAAATAAACTGATACTAGCTCCAAAAATAGTAAGTTGTGACATTCCCCTCTACTACTGAGGCTACTTCTTATCTGTATCCGTTTTGTGAAATATGAAACAAACAAAATGGCAAAAAGAAAGCAAGGTTATTCTGTGTGAATATCTTAATGTCAGTTAAAAAAAAAAAGAAAGAAAGAAAGAAAGCAAGTTATTGAAGTCTCTAAGCTCATACGAACATACCTGATTTTCAAAACAGCCTATGGACATGAATATATTTCCCATCAATTCGAAATTCAGATCAGCAGTTTCTGGACTATCAAATCTTTCTTCAGTGACTCTGCAACTGTTAAAAAGTCTCATGCTCTGAAGGCAATGAACACACTATTAATGCAGAAAAAGCTCAAGGAACAGATTTCAAGATTTGAAAGACTTCAAAAAGATCAGTTGGTATGGTGGATAATTTCATTTGTGTTTTTCAAGAGTTCATACTCATTTAACAATCAATTTTATACTATTAAAATAAATATCCTGGGCCAGGCACAGGGGCTCACACCTGTAATCCTAGCTCTCTGGGAGGCCGAGGCAGGTGGATTGTTTGAGCTCAGGAGTTCGAAACCAACCTGAGCAAGAGCGAGATCCTGTCTCTACTATAAATAGAAAGAAATTAATTGGCCAACTAATATATATAGAAAAAAGTTAGCCGGGCATGGTGGTGCATGCCTGTATTCCCAGCTACTTGGGAGGCTGAGGCAGCAGGATTGCTTGAGCCCAGGAGTTTGAGGTTGCTGTGAGCTAGGCTTACGCCACGGCACTCACTCTAGCCTGGGCAACAAAGTGAGACTCTGTCTCAAAAAAATAAATAAATAAAATAAATAAATAAACATCCTGCATCTATAAACTGCCAAAAATTACAAGTATTTAGAAAGGCCAAATACCAGTCTTACATGCTTAGACATAAGAAATCTGTTTTTAAAAAACAGTTATAGGTAGTCCATGATGATATAACCACTCTCTCAAAACATGAGCAGCTCTCTTCTAAGACTAAGAGTTTATCAATCTTCCTTGACTGAAACCCTAAGAATATCTTTTCTCTGCTTTAGGAAGAGTTTCAGGTGGTCAGCATATCCAACTCAAGGAGGCCTAAAAACCAAACTTACCACTTAAGTGGTTAATGCTAAGCAGTCATGTTCTTAAGCAGAGAAACATTTTCCTAGGTATCTGAGATCTAAATATCCCCCTTAACCCTACAAAGCAATGTGGAAACAAGAATCCTATATAAAAACAGAGAAAAATTTACTTAGCAACAACATACATGCAAAGGGAACTACTACTATCTAAAAACAGAGAAAATTTACTTTGCAACAACATATATGCAAAGGGAACAGTTTTACAAGAACATGTGATCACTTTACCTGATAGAATTGTGTTATGATTATATGTAAGTAGAACTGTAGTTATGAAGTAAAGGCACTTGTACAATTCCTACAACACTTTCTTGTACTTTATACATATAAAAGAAGGAAAAAATAGAAGAAAGCTAAGAGGGAAATCAAAAAATTCCAGAGATGCTCACTGGGCACTGAACCAAGCTGCTTTGGACACAGGAGACAGGTTTCAATTGCCCACAGCTGAGAACCGTGACTTAATGAGCTCAGCTTCCAAGCCTTGGAAGAATCTGTGACACTCAGTAGCCTGGTGTTACCAGGATAACTCCTAGAGGAGGGACAATGACTAAAACCTAGCCTGAAATTTAAGAAATAAGCTTATCCACAGCTTTACCATCAGAGTGTCCCCCAAAAATATCACCTGCCCAAGCCCTGTGACCTTAACCTACAGCCCTCCCTCAACCTGACACAAAGCAGAGCTTTCCTGGCTATGGAAGAAAAGAGGAAAAAATCTCTCAAAAACCAGGCTTTTGGCTGGGAGCAGTGGCTTGCGCCTATAATCCCAGCACCACTTTGGGAGGCCGAAGTGGAAGGATAACTTGAGCCCAGGAGTTCAAGACAAGCCTGGGCAACACAGCAAGATCCCATCTCAACAAAAAATTTAAAAATTAGCTAGATGTGGTGGTACACACCTGTAGTCCCAGCTACTTGGGAGGCTGAGGCAGGAGGAGCACCTGAAACCAGGCTGCAGTGAGCTATGATTGCTCACTGCACTCCAGTCTGGGGTGGGGGTGGTAGGGCTTTCCCTGACCCTATAACTCACTGGTGGATAAAAGAAAGGAAATGACAAAGATAGGCACAGAGTCCAGAGGTCTAGATTGCTACCCAACCCATCCAAAAAAAAAAAAACTTCTCATCATTGCCTCAACTTCTGCAGCTAATCTTAAGGTTGAAATGAGATGACCCTTTTTCCCTCTGTTTCTGGCAACAGTGTAATACTCCTTTCAGAGAAGAAACATTCCTCAGAGGTGTGAATTCACCACCTGACTTTCTTCCTAACACTCAGCTAAGATCATAAACTGAGAGGAAAAAAACACTTCTGACATTTAGTGTGTGGAAGGGAAAGAAGTTATCTAGGAGATATATTCAATGGCCATAGTTTTTCCAAACTTAACATAAAAAATGTTATGACATTTGTCTGAAAACGATGCCTGTGCCATTTTAAGATGCAAGACCTTGGAAAGCCTTTTATAAACGGATCCAGGATAAGTAAGATATATAAATCAGAAGATGTGTGCAGAAAGCTTTGGCTGTGCGTGCTATACATATGTGCACTTATGGCCACATGGTCCCATTCAGTAAACTAAATTTTTCTAAACATAATATTCACTGCAAAAAAAAAAAAATAGCCATTGTATTATAGCTAAAGAACTTGGCAAAATGAATTTAAAAGAAATGTTCAGTTTGTTTTACTTTAAGTTTTTTTTTTTTTTGAGACAGAGTCTCACTCTATTGCCCAGGCTAGAGTGAGTGCCATGGCATTAGCCTAGCTCAGAGCAACCTCAAACTCCTGGGCTCAAGTGATCCTACTGCCTCAGCCTCCCAAGTAGCTGGGACTACAGGCATGTACCACCATGCCCAGCTATTTTTTTCTATATATATATTAGTTGGCCAATTAATTTCTTTTCTATTCATAGTAGAGATGGGGTCTCGCTCTTGCTCAGGCTGGTTTAGAACTCCTGACCTTGAGCAATCTGCCCGCCTCGGCCTCCCAGAGTGCTAGGATTACAGGCATTGGGCCACCACGCCCAGCCTCTTTTACTTTAAGCTAAACAGCAGTTTCACTCTTCCTAAACACACTCTTGCCACAAACAACTGGTCACTTAATCATGGGGCAACTCCAACTGTCTGACACACCTGGCCATGACATGTATCAGAAGACGAACCTTCAATATCAATTGCTAAGCAACCCAAATGCTTTAATTGTCAAGAATTCCATTAATTTTCCAGTACAAGGCATCATGATTCACTTATCTTCTATGCTTACAAACAGAAGCACTTAGAAGATATATGTTGGCAAAAAGGTATATATCAACAAGAATTAAAAGAAAAAGATTAAAATTACCTTGTAAATGGCTACTTGGCTTTAAGATACCTTAGCTTTTTGAACCAATAATAGACTCTTAAAGAAGATAATATTCAGAAAAAGTACAGATTATATAACTAAAGATCACTCTGAATTCCACTACCATTTATAACATCTGTTTTTTTTTTAAATATCTCTGTTTTGATGTCCTTCCCAAATAAAAGAATTTGAAATCAGTTAAAAGACAAAGAGAGAGAGGAAGAAGGTGGGGTCAACTTGTCACCTTAATAACCACAAGTTCCCTCTTGATTAGCACTATATTGAATTATTTAACAAATCTAGTATAACAAAAGTTTTTAAGAAAGGTTACCCAAATAATTATACACTAATGTTCGTAACAGTGTTATTCATAATATTCAGCAGGTGGAAACAACTCAAGTGTTCATCAACAGATAAATGGACAAACAAAATGGGGGGTATACACACATACATACACATACACACACACACACACACACACTGGAATATCATTTAGTCCTAAAAGGGAACAAAGTACTAATGCTATAACATGGATGGGCCTCAGAAACGCAAAGTAAAAGCAGCCAGACACAATAGGTCACACATTGCAGGCTTCCACTTATATGAAATATCCAGCACAAGTAAATCCATAGGGAAAAAAAGCAGACTCGTGGTTGTTAAGGGGTGGGGGAGGGGAGAAAGAGAGGACGTCTTAATGAGTACAAGGTTTCCTTTTGGAGTGATGAAAACATTTGGAATTTGATAAATGGTGGATGCACAGTATTGTGAGTGTACTAATGCCACTGAATTACATCCTTTAAAATGTTTAATTTTATGTTATATGAACTTGGTATCAATTAAAATGAAAGCACATAAGGAGAGAAAATAATAAGTCCATGGGAATATTTCACAATATTTAATAAATCTGATTATGAAAATCTAATTTGGAGAAGAGTATTAATATTAAAGCTAATAGAGAACAAAACATTCTAGAACCTTAAAAAGCCCACAACCAGCAAATACATAGGAAGAATGGTCAGTTGATGGTACTGTTCTCCCTGGGTGCTTTCTTACCAACAGACAGGAGGCGCCACGTGACGGCGGGAGTGGCGAAGCAGGCGAACACGTCGTCCGTGCAGGAGAAGTGGGTGAGATGGGGGAGGAGCACCGACTGGCCCCGGCACTGGCCCCACATGTACACGTGCCCTCCCTGGGTCTTGGCGGCGGACGTGTGGGCAGAGTGACAGGCTGCGATCTCCACTACCCTGAAAAGTTTTAAGAACAATGTAAGTCACTTTGTTATCACAGAAGCCCAGAGCATACTACACAAGGCAATGAAAAAGTTCATGCTTGTTACACCTCAGGAAGCAGCCCAAGATCCTGGAACATTAGCTGCCAAGTCAAATCCACAAAACCAAAGATCAGGGCAAGAGCACTGTTATTTCTCCCTAACTGCCCACTTTGCATCCTAAGCTCACACTGCGTTAGGATCAACAATACATACTATTGAGGAAAACTTGGAAAATGGTCTAGAAATCAAAGTAAATGAGGAAAGCAGACAAATAAAAAATTTGCTGACAGTTCTGGGGGCTTTATACAGTAGCAAAAATACTGTCTTCAAGATACTATTTCCTGGCTGGGTGCGGTAGCTCACGCCTGTAATCCTAGCACTCTGGGAGGCCGAGGTGGGAGAATCGCTCAAGGTCAAAACCAGCCTCAGCAAGAGTGAGACCCTGTCTCTACTAAAAATAGAGAGACCCCTGTCTCTACTAAAAATAGAAAGAAGTTAATTGGACAACTAAAAATATATAGAAAAAATTAGCCGGGCATGGTAGCGCATGCCTGTAGTCTCAGCTACTCAGGAGGCTGAGGCAGCAGGATTGCTTGAGCCCAGGAGTTTGAGGTTGCTGTGAGCTGGGCTGACGCCACAGCACTCACTCTAGCCTGGGCAACAAAGTGAGACTCTGTCTAAAAGAAAAAAAAAGATACTATTTCCTCACAGAGACAACTTTTTCTGTCACCCCCTAAAGAACTCAGAACACGCATCAGGCTGGTAAGCACTAGTGCAGGGGTCACGGACTCTGAGCATTCCAGTACAAAGGGACAGCAGGGCAAACTTCCTACGCGTCTCAGGAGTATGCTTCTGAGGCAGAGTACCAGGGCTGGAAGTCAATATCCCAAGACTTAGTGGGTAAGACCTCACAATTTGGCTAAACAAATAATAAGCATCTGTTCCAGTAATACACATTACATCAAATCAATATTTAAACAGATAATGTCCTTTCAAGGGGATATTTATTGAAAAGTTATTTTAGCTGGCTCAAAGGAAAAATTCACACTATATCTTGGATATCAACATGGTCACAGAGCCTCTGTCTTCCCCACTAAATGGGAAACAAGAACCTGCAGGAATTACACCAAGATGCATTCATGCCTGTCAATCACAGGAGGTAATCTCAGAAAGCTACTTAAGAATTACATCAACTTTATGTTCATTCTGGCTAGTACTCAATATTCTTTTGTTCAGAACAAGAATATTAATAAACAGGAGAGTCACAAAGCCAAACACCATAGCTCTGCCACACACAGTCCCAAGGGCACAATGCACACACAGACCCAAGACACAATGCACAGCACAGCCAAATTACCTTTCTTTCTCCACCATGATGTGTGCTGGGCTTAGCAGGTTATTTTTATTGCCAGTTCCCAGCTGCCCATATGTGTTAGCTCCCCAGGCATAGAGCAAGCCCTCATCTGTTAGTGCTAGAGTATGTGCATAGCCGCAGACAATCTGCAAGTAAATTTCAATGGTTACCATTAACAGGAAAACAGGAAGGGCAGGGGAAACATCTACTTAAAGGCTACAGCCAGCTTGTGCAGAATGCCAATTCATCATCAGGTGTGGACTGACATTTGCTAGAACATTAAAAAAGCATTAGAAAAGCCTAAACCTTAGACTGTTGAATTTTTTTCCATTAGTTTTTTCTTTTTTGTCTTTTTTAACTTGTCAAGATTAATGTGCCTGCATCATGGTCTTCCTTCTCCTAGTAGGAATTTAGGGAAGATATAACATTAAATGTGGAAGAAAAAGCCACAGGGTACTGTCAGAAAAAACTGACTGAAGAGTAAACCTCCAATATTTCTCCAAGTTGGAGCAGGGAAGGGAGAAGGGGGCCGGCTAGCCGAGAGGTCACCACACGTACCTGGTTCACGCAAACACTGTGCAAGGCTGCCACTCTCACAGGGGTCAGCTGATTGCCATTGTTTCCCAAGCCCAGCTGACCGTTGCCATTGTAACCCCAGCCATATACCTTAGAGAGGAAAGAAAGGGTAAGAATGGGCTTTTAAAACTGCTAGTAGGCTAGTAGAAAGGAAGAGATAAAAATTCAGTCCATCCCAAAAAATCAGATACTTCCAACACCATATCTACTCCGCAGGATCCTACAACTGATCTCCAAATAGAAGATCTTTTTGGGGTGGGATGACAGTTTGGCATCAGTTCCTACTCCACAACTTTATTAGTTATTTAGCCTGGGGCACGTCACTCTTTCCTGTTTTATACATGAGAAAGCTGAGGCTCACTAAGAATTATTAAGCACCTACTGGATGTCAGGACTCTGTGAAAAGTAACAGGAATAAGTTTTTGGCTATAGTTTAACAAGGGAGATCAACAAATGCAAATATTTTGCAGACAGGTAGCAAATACCACCATAGAGACACAATCGAGGCACTATAGGAACTAGCAAGGAAAGCTTTAGCTCTAGGAAGAAAGTTTAGGGAGGATTTTTCAGAAAGTGGAGATCTGAGCAGGGTTGAAGGATGAAGGAGGGAGAGGGCATTCCAGGCAGAAGTCGCTGAATGTGTTGGAGGCCGGCTCAGAAGACAAGTAGGTGGGCCTGGCTGGACACATCTGGGGTAGACAGAAAAGACTTAGAAGGAATGCAAGGGCCGGGAGACAAAGTGACCAACACACACCAGGGGAAGGGAAATGCACCTAAATTTTCCACTGAAATATGTCAAAACAGATTAATTAAATTTGCATTTTGAATGATCCCTCTGGCCACAACATGAGGAGTGACAGGAGCTTATAAGACTAGAGGCAGGAAGACCATTTTGGAATTAATTTGGTCTCTCATCACAGTGAGCTCTGGAGTGGTGCCAAAACAGGGAGTAGAGAGGAAGGGGATAAGCAGGGACTTCCTAGCACGTGGTGAGCCCTAAATGTCTGGACCGAGAGGGTCCATCTGCTGAGAGTAACAGAACTGGGTACAGGTTTGACAAGACTGTTAAAGGTTTATAACAGCCAGTACTAACAGGAAAAAAGTATTGACCAGGAACAAATAAAGGTCTAGCTCAAATTAGAAACCCGAGATGTGTGCAGCACCAAGCCCCACAGCAACACAGGGCCACAGACGTACACTGGGGCTTTTCAGGGCAATGCCACAGAGGGGTAAGGGGGCGTGGACTTGAGGGTCCTAGTGAGAGATGGTTAAAGGCACTTTCATCCAATGCCAGAGTGTAACAGGTGGGAACTTTCTAGAGGGAAATTTGGCAATAGCTATCAACATTTTAAATGGCATACACTTTGACCAAGAAATTCTATTTCCAGGAATTTATTCTATAAAAATAATTGCCTAAGTGTACAAAGACACACACACACACACACACACACACAGAGTGTAACACAGAAAATCGGTGTAACATCACTCATAACAGCAAAAAATTAGAAATTGAAATGTCCATCAGTAGAGCTCTGGATGTGGGTCATCCACAGAGACAGAACTAAACAGCCACTGGGATGAAAAGGTCTGTATAAATGGTCTGAAAACAGACATAGAGAAATACATGCTATCAAATGGGGCAGGAGGAAGCATGCTGAGCAAGAGCAGAGAAAAGCAGCAGTAAGTATAATCATGCCATTTTAAAAAAAACCAATTAACCAATTATAAACATCCATATATAACTGTCTATAGAAAAAAAGTCCAAAAGGGTATGCATGAAACTATTAACAAGAGATGGAAAAAGGCATTCACTTTTTATTTTGTTTCACCTGTTGTCTTCCTTTGTTAAAATAACCACACACTAATAATTTAAAAATTAAACTTATTTTTAAAAATAAAAGAGAAATGAAGAATACTGGAATGGAGGATATCTGAAGACTATCTCAAGGAATTGTAAAGTTATCCAGGATGTTATCAGAATTGATAAAAAATAAGTTAACATATGTGAGCATTCAGTAAACTCTAAGGCACCCCAGGACCCCAATGCATGATGCCATAATGTCTATGTCCAAATTTGTATAATTTTCATGCACTAAAACATGCACAAGTAGTAACTGGCCCATTTAAGTAGAAGTTGCAACCAGAGATAATTTCACAGAAATAACCCTCAGCTCAAAGGTGATCACAGTAGAGGATAACTGAAGGGTAAGTTTTTAAAAGTAGCTAACAACAATCAGGACAAAAAAAAAATCTGCTTTTGCAAATTGCTTCGTCCTGTAAACAAACATTCAAGATGTAGGTGGGTAGTTCTACAAAGACTTTCTGATCAGCTAACTTTAAAAAATTTGTACAGTTGACATTTTCATTGAAAGAGAGGTAGTATCAAATTCTTTAATCCATTACATTAAATGCCACAAATACCTATAAGCATTAGGCTATTTGGATCTTGGCCAAAAATAAAATTTAGATACACTAGAATCTTTACTTGCAGATAAATCTTGGAATTTAAAAAAGTCATGCTGAGGAGCAAACATCCTCTGGCTACTCCTCAGTCAACTCTCAATGGAGCTACCAAAGCAAAGCACTCTTCCTTCCATGATCTGATACATGCGCCTCACGAAGAAACCGACATTTCACTGAAAAAGGAGGTAGAGGGGGAGCAGGAATGGAGAGAGAGCTCACCTCACCATTGTCTAGAACAGCCATGGATGATGTCTGACCACAGGCAATGCCAACCACCCTCTTAATATGTAAACAGTTTGTAACTTTTCGAGGAGTTGGTTGATTTGCTGTAGAACCTGATCCCACCTGACCACAGTTGTTATACCCCCAAGCAAACACCTACAAAAGAAGGGAAAAAGAAAAAAAAATAGGGTGAAAATTCGGCCTCTAACACAATCATAAAATAAAAGTAAACCCACTTAGTGAGCATTATACTATGTGCTAAAAGTTTCTAAATGCTTTACACACATTAACCTATTTAATCCTTTTAGTAATCCTGCAAAGTGACCCTGGCCTAGGTAACATTATAATCCTCATTTTATATGTAGCAACTGAAACACAGAGAGGTTAAGTGACTTGATAGGGTTCCACAGCTAGTAAGTAGCGCAAGTAGAATTTATGCTCAAGCAGTCTCCCTATGCTCTTAACCACTATGCTACTCTGCCTCTATAATTATCGCAACTATAGAGATGCATATATATAATTGGGGGGGGGGTCTCATTATGTTGCCCAGGCTGGTCTTCAACTCCTGGGCTCAAGTGATCCTCTGGCCTCACCTACCCGGCAGCTGGGACTGCAGGTAGATGCCACTATAGGTACATACCACCACTGTGCCAGCCTTCTATATATTTCTCAATGTGGCATCAACAGAAATAAGGTATATGCAACATAACTATCAGTAACGTAAAAAATTTGGGCAACTCTTTGGGCACAAATACTCCTTCTTTTTCATGGAAACCTTTCTAAACGGCAATGTAAACAGAGAGAAGAATTAGGGAAGGGGTGTTGGCAGTAGAGGAAATAACTTCCTCTAACACCAGGAGAATTTCTAAGACCCCTACCTCCACCCCTCTTCATCTGCCTGCAGGAAGCGGTCTGCACACATCCTGAGTTTGGCCTCCACAATTCTTTCTTTACTCTGTCAGAACGTTCTATTTAAGTTCACATGTTGGACATTGCCCAAGGCAACAACAGCAAAACCCACTGCTGATATCTTAAAGAATATGTGCTATGCAGATTCACTTCACAGATACAAAGAAATAACCTGCAGTACTTCCTCAAAATATATTCACAGGAATATCTAGTACAATAATGCAAATATTTAGCACAATTATCCAAAGTAACATATGCTTAAGGTTAAAATAAAGCAGGAATCAAGCCTGTACAAATTAGCAAATTTTGGCTAATTTCAACAATCATTCTTCTGGCACTTCTCAAATATAGCAAGTTCCTTTGCAATGCTGCTGCCTGTCATTTAAAAATTGGAACTGTAGTTCCACTAACTAAGAGATGCACCAGGAAACAGTGGATTCTAGGCATAAAGCCTGAGTGCTGTGCCTGGCTCCAGCACATCCCAGCCATGAAAACTGGAGCTTTTTGGCTTCTTCATCTATAACTTGTCCTACTTAGTAAAATCACTATCAGACCACTGAAGAACTTTAAACAGGGGAACAATATGATCTAATTTGTGTTTCAGAAATCATAGGGGGATAGAGATGTGATCAATTAAACAGGTAGATCAATTAAAAAGTTTTGAACAGAAGAGACCGTGGCAGTAGTTCAAGCAGAAGACGACAAGACCTGACCAAAGGCAATGGAGATGGAGAGGACAAATGATAGGAGAGATTAGAAGGGAGAATCTGCAGGATGAGTACCCTTTAAGGTGAGTACAGAACTTGGGGGCTGAACAGGTGGTATATTTTCTCCTACATCATTACATATACTGAAAAACAAAATAGACCTTAAAGGATGGGGGTCATTAAAAGAAAAAAAAAAGTACAGAACACTGTTCCACAAATCTGATTTGCAGTCTTAGCAGAGCATGAGACTCGGCTGCCTTAAGGTCAAATCCTGTCCCAAGAGTGGTACTGTTTACATAATACAGATTAAGTTAGAGAAAGAGTGTGTCCCCACAATGTTTTTAGCTACACGCACAAGGCTACTATGTTCATATCATACCAAATACAAAAATAGTCATTGTTTCATTTTTTTAAAAAAAGCAAGGAACTTTCATGATAGCCAAAAGTAGAAGCAACCCAAGTGTCATCAATGCATGAGTAGATAAACAAAATGTGGTATACAGCAAGTCTTCAAAGAATGTTGTTTTTTGTTTTGTTTTTTTTTTTGAGACAAGAGTCTCGCTTTGTTGTCCAGGCTAGAGTGAGTGCCGTGGCATCAGCCTAGCTCATAGCAACCTCAAACTCCTGGGCTCAAGCGATCCTGCTGCCTCTGCCTCCCGAGTAGCTGGGACTACAGGCATGTGCCACCATGCCCGGCTAGTTTTTTCTATATATATTAGTCAGCCAATTAATTTCTTTCTATTTATAGTAGAGACGGGGTCCCGCTCTTGCTCAGGCTGGTTTCAAACTCCTGACCTCAAGCAATCCGCCCGCCTCGGCCTCCCAGAGTGCTAGGATTATAGGCGTGAGCCACCACGCTCGGCCAAGAATGTAGTTTTGTTATAAGATTAATGAGAAAAAGAAATTGGTTCCTGGCCAGGGCCACTGTCTGTGTGTAGTTTGCACGTCCTGCCCACAACTGTGTGGGTTTTCTGTGGGTGCTCCGGTTTCCTCCCACATGCCAAAGCTGTGTACAATAGGCTGTGTCTAAGCTGTGCATGTGTTTTAACAGTCCCATGGATGTACCCCGTGACACAATGGCATCCTGTCCAGGGCTTGTCCCCACCTTATACCCTGAACTTCAGGCCACTCATGACCCTGAACCGAAGTGAGTTGGAAAATTAATAAATGAAAATGCAAATTATTGTAAAATAAAAATTTATAAAGTAGATGATAATCATACAAGTGCATGACAATAAACACAGTTCAAAAGCACTCAGCAAGCTGTCATGTTTGTAATTGTTCTTGAACTGTGTGGTGGTAGATGTACTACTCAGTTTTTGATTTGCAAACATTTATTCCTTGATTTAACCTCACCACCACTACGACCACCATCACTCACTGATTCACCAAAACTTGAGTAAATGATCCTCTTGTTTTTATTAATATTTCTTTAATACATGTGCAGCTCACATTTATTTCAATGTTTAATATGAGATGTGGTTTGGGTCTTTGTTTAGAAGTTTGGTGATGTTTTTGTGAACAGAAATATACCAAAAGAACTTAACTCTTGCTTGTATTAATTGGCCCATGACAAAACTGGTTTCATTACATGTTGTTTTCGCTTAAAGTCATAGTTTCCAAGAACCTGGCCCTGACGGTAAGTGAGAACTTAGTATGTGCATACAATGGAATATTATTCAGCCTTAAAAGAAAGTAAATCCTGTCACATGCTACAATGTGGAAGAACCTTGAGGACATTGTGCTAAGTGAAACAAGCCAGTCGCAAAAGGACACATACTGTATGACTCCACTTCTATGAAGTACCTTAGGTAGTCAAACTCCTAGAGACAAAGTAGAAAGGTAGTTGCCAGGGGTTAGAGGGAGGAAAGAATGGGGAGTTTAAGAGGTACAGAATTTCAGTCTTGCAAGATGAAAAAAGTTTTGTGGGTGGGTAGTGGCAACAGTTGCACAATAATGTGAATGTACTGAATGCCAATGAATTATACACTTAAAAATAGTTAAGATAGCATAGTTAAGATAGCAAATTTTATGTGTATTTCTTCACAATTTGAAAGACCCAGAATAAAGAACAAAAGCAGTGTACTTACTTCTCCATCAGCTGCCAGAGCCATTGAATGATGTGAGCCACAAGCTACTTCAACCACTTGCTTGATCAAGAGATTGGTACACACTTGGATGGGAGCGATGCCTTGGTTGGTCGTCCCATTCCCAAGCTGGCTATATCCATTGTGGCCCCAGGCATAAACCACCCCATCTACACACAAAGCACACAAAGAATCAGTTCCAAGAAATGGTAACCCCTGTACTTTGTTCCCCAGAACTTTGTTCAATTCATTCTCCAACCTTCATTTCTTTCACATTGCCCCTTTATCTTTATTACAAAACCACTGATGGGGTGTGGGAGAGAGGGACGGATGAGAGAACAGGATAAATGGATGTAAAATCTGTAAAGAAAGGACTTGGTGCTAACACAGATGGAAGATCAGCTTCATGGTTGGAAGTCAAAATTTGTATATACAAAAATTAGACTTTCTAAACACTTTGATTCATCTCAGCAGTTTCTGTGTCAGGTACCAAGCAAAAGAAAGAAGATGCAGAAAAGCTCAACACTAACATTTACCATCACTTTATCAAATACCAAGTCTCAGGGAACCCCTGGGAGGTGTATGTGTCAGTCATTCACAAAGTACAGAGGAAAGATGTAGACCAGGGGTCCTCAAACTTTTTAAACAGAGGGCCAGTTCACTGTCCCTCAGACCATTGGAGAGTGCACACTGTGGGCCCCGATGAGTCAGCTGTTAAGCAGGACAGACAGCGGAGGCAAAAACACCCGGTGGGCCGGATAAATGTCCTAGGCGAGTGGCATGTGGCCTGCAGGCCGTAGTTTGAGGATGCCTGATGTAGACTGTTGCAAAGGAAGCAAAAATCACAGAGCCTCTCCCAAGCAGACTATTTTAGTAGCATGAAATCAGGCTTAATTTTTTTTTTTTTTTTACATAAAGCAACCATTTTATTATTATTCTGTATGTCAAGAATCTGGACAGAGGACAATGGAGATGGCTTGTCTTTGCTCCATGATATGTGTGATCTCAGGAAGATTCAAAGGCTAAGGATGACTCAGTGGCTGGGAGCTGGCATCATCTGGAGGAATCTTCACTCCCATTGTCTGGCTGTCTTTGGAACGTATAATCAGATTCTTATAAGAAACACAACTCAGGAACAGCCAAATAGAAGAGAGGCATACGGCAAGGTAAGTAAGGGGTGGACTACACAGAGCTTCCATGCTCTCCCTGGCCACAGCACCATGACATGTTCACCAACCTGGAAGCTCCTCTGTCTGCATTTTTTTTTTTTTTTTTTTTTTTTTTTGAGACAGAGTGTAACTCTCTTGCCCTGGGCTAGAGTGCTATGGCGTCAGCCTAGCTCACAGCAACCTCAAACTCCTAGGCTCAAGTGATCCTCCTGCCTCAGCTTCCCGAGTAGCTGGGACTATAGACACATGCCACTGTACCTGGCTAATTTTTTTCTATTTTTAATTGTTTGGCTAATTTCTTTCTATTTATAGGAGAGACGGGGTCTCACTCTTGCTCAGGCTGGTCTCTAACTCCTAAGCTCAAGCAATCCTCCCGCCTCGGCCTCCCAGAGTGCTAGGATTACAGGCCTGAGCCACCACACCCAGCCTGTCTGCATTTTTTTGAGACAGGGTCTCTCTGTGTCACCCAGGCTGGAGTGCAGCTAGAACCATCATAGCTCACTACAGCTTGAACTCCTAGGCTCAGACGATCCTTCTGCCTCAGACTCCTGAATAGTTGGAACTACAGGCATGGGCCACAACACCGGCTAAGTTTTCTTTCTATCTTTCTTTCTTTCTTTCTTTCTTTCTTTTTTTTTATGTAGAGATGGAGTCTCACCATGTTGCCTAGGCTGGTCTCTACCTACTGGACTCAAATGATCCTCCTCCCACCTCAGCCTCCCAAAGTGCTAGGATTATAGGCGTGAGCTACCATGCCCAGCTTTGTCTGAAGTATTTTAAAATGACTTGGATTAAAATAAATAACTAGACAGTCGTATTGGAAAAATTAATTCGTCATACCATACACCATAATAACTTCTCAATAAATTAGAAATTTAAATGTAAAAAATAAAACTGTATAGGATCTAGAAGGAAAAAATTAGTGAATTTGTTTATAAGCTGGGACTATAGAAAATTTTCCTGACTCAAAAATCCAGAAACAATAAGAAAAAAGACTGATATATCTAGTTACATTAAAAAATTTTTTTACAAAGAAATAAAACAATGAGCAAAGAAAAAATTAAATACTGGGAAAAAATATTTTATATCACTAAAAGATAATATCCCAAACATACAAAGAGCTCCTAAAAATATAAAAGAAAAAGACCAAATGGTGCTTAACCATACAAAAAGACACTCAACCTCACTCCTAAGAAGCAAAATGCAAATGACATCTTAACACAACAGAAGACCAGGCTCCCACTTATCAAGGCTGATCTGGCTACTACCATTGCCAAACACCCACTATGCCAGTAACAGGGACCAATGCAGAGCCCCCAACACAGCACCATTCCTCAGGGAGATCAACTAACCATTTGGTGACAAGTGATCACAGTGGACCTATTGGATCCTACAAGGAACAGACGTTTCTATTGACAGAAATCAACATATAATCCAGGTACGGGTTTCCTGCCCAGAGCACCTTAGCCAGCACCACTATCTGAGGGTTTACTGAATATTTAATCCACTCACACAGGATCCCACAAACCATCTCATCAGACCAAGGGATCAACTTTACAGCAAAAGAGGTGCAGCAGTGTGTGCATATGACCATAGGGTTCACAAGTCCTATGACATACTGCAACATACAAAAGCTGCTGGCCAGAGAACGTGATGGACGAGCTGGCCAAAGGCACCACTGGCTGAAGCACCAGCCTGGAGATGATGCCATGTGCAGATGGGATGCCATCCACCAAGTGAAGTGTATCCTTTAATCAATGGCCACTATATGGTGCTGTGTCTCTAACAGGTAGAATACCTGGGTCCAGGAGCCAACAGCAGATATATAAGAGGCCCTGCTGACCACCACTCCCAGTGAATGACTTGGGGAATTTGTGTTTCCTGTCCCTGCAATTCTAGTTTCCACAAGTTTGTAAGTCCTGGCTCCCAAAGAGAGAACACTTCCACTAAGGGACACAGTGAAAGTCCCGTTGAAGGCTGCCACAGGAACTCTGATTCCCTCTAGCCAAAGTCCAACAGGAAAGAAAAGTCGCCCTCCTGCCAGGGGCAAATGACCCCATTGACAGGAAGAGGCAGGACTGTTGTTATGTAACAGGGGCAGAGAGGAACATGTTTGGCACCCAGGTGACACTTGGGAGTCTTTTCGTGCACACTTGCCCAATAATGATGGTAAACAGAAACGCACAGCAGCCACGGCCTCAATACAGCATGGTCACAGCTCTTAACTCCTCATGGACGAGAGCCTGGGCCACCCAATCAGTTGTGACACCCAAGCCAGGTGCCAGCCACTACTTGTAAGATGGTATACATACACCGCTCTTTCCTTTTTCCTTGATGAAGCTCCGGAAAGGTGAACGCCATCACAAGATGGCTCTTAGTCTCAAATCCTGGTGAAGGCCTCAAAGCAACACAACCCCCTGGACACCAGCACCTGCTTCCCCAGCCCTGCTCTGGCCACACTGTCTCTAGCAGACCAATGATGACTCTTTAGGACCACGTGAGGCTTAAGAGATGAGCAAAATTACCCAAGGATGTGAGGGTGAAACAAGCCAAGGGGGGGATGTGAGAGTGAAACAAGCTCAAAGAGAAAATGATCCAGGGGGGCCCTGAAGGCAGCAATGAGGCACTGTAGTGAGAAAAGGAGAATTATAAGTGCACATACTGAATACCAAGATCCTACGCTTCCCTTGCTCAGCCCCCAGAAAGCTGGCAAAAAAGCTTTATATCCCCAGGTCAGGAAACTGGGGGATTCTACTCTATAGAAATTCACAGTTATAACCTCCCTCAGTACTTGATGAGCCACACCCATGAAAACAGAACTCCCAACATGTGTAAAGTGCCCTGCTCTTACCTGTGAACCGACAATCAAGGATCACCACAGTTTAGAAGAAAGCCTCTAACATGAAAGTCAGAGACCAAAACAAAGAGAAACAAGAAATTTGGGAGGAGAAAAAGAAACAATGTGTAGAGAATAGAAGATAACTTAAAAATAACCTACAACTATAAATAGCCTCAAAGAGAAGATACTGAATCCATGAAACACTAGCAGGAAGCTCTAGAAAGGAACATTTAAAGACAAGAAAGAGCACTTGGAAATGTAACAGAAGAAATGTTAAAATTTGACATAAGGGTTATAAGATAAAGTCAAAGAAATTTCCCAGAACATAGATGGGAGAGAAAATAAAAGAAAATAAGGAAGATCAGTACAGAATCTCTAACTTCCTTCTAAGAAAAATTCCAAAAAGGAAGGAACAGAGAAAACAGAGAGGGGAAATTGTCATGAAATATTATAAGAAAATTTTCTAGAAATAAAAGAATTTCCAGATTAAAAGGCCTATAAGAATGGCCAATACAATTAAAAATTATACCAGAGTAGAGTCATAATTATTTCACAACACTTGGAATAAAGAAGAGATCCTTAACACTTCCAATGAGGAAAAAAAATCATATACAAAATAGCAAAAGTCGGAAAGTCAACAGCAACCCTGAAACTTGAAAAGCACAAAGACTTCAACATTCTGAGGAAACATGATTTCCAACCTAGAATTCTAAGCCCAGCCAAACCACTGACAGGCATTAGGGTAAAATAAAGACATTTTAGGACAGGATCTCAAATATTTCTCTCTTACTCTCTTTCCTGGAAAACTTCTAGAGTATGTGTTTCACCCAAATGATTATGCCTCTTTGGCATAATCCAAAGAGGACAACATAAGACACAAAAAACAGGGGGTCCAGAAAGGACAAAGTGAGGGGACTTCTGAGGACGAAGGTTAAGTGAATAGCATATAGGTTTAGAGATTGACCAGTCCAGACTGGAGCAAGGGCTCCAGAGATTATCTGATATATTTAGAAGTGCTGTGAAACAATGTGCTGCTTTGTGGAAGAGTTTGGGCATACGTTAACAATGGCTGTATAGAAAAGTAAGTAAATGAAAAAAACCTGAGGCAATTATCAACTCCAGAAAAACAAACAGCTGTACAAAGAAGGAGGCGGCTCAGCTATAAATAATTATATGGTCCTAATAATATAAATACTAACCAAAATGATGATATCACTATATTGAAATGATAAGGAGAGGGAAGGTAGGGAGAAAAGCTAAATTCTTTCTGCCATTACAGAAAGTTAAAGGATAATATTTAAAATTTAGAAATAGGAGTATAAGCATGTTCTTTTAAAAATATGAGATTAAGTACCAGAAGAAACATATGAAAGAGTTAAAAGTGGTTCCCTCTAAACAGTAGTTGTTACTAAGAGTAAAGAGGGGTAGGGCAATGGCACTTCTACTTTTCACTAAAAATCTGATACTATTGGATGGTTTTAAGAGTAAAATTGTTTCAAAACTATTTGATTGTTTCTAATACCTATATAACACATATGCAACATGCATGACATGTAATGTAAAGCATGATGTATATTGTATAAAATGTGTTATAAAAATCAAAACTGAATTAACCACAGAAAGATATCCCCACAAAAAGTTTTTTATTTATTTAGATCTGAAATGTAACACTCAACAAATTTAAAACTGTACGATCTGTTGTCTGAAAATAATTCCAAAAGAAGAGTTATAGTTTCCTAAGGTCACCACTTGGAAGAAAACCAAGAATCTGAATGTGTATGTTCTAGTATGTTTGCTCTAAAAAAAACCTGCCTCAGTATTTTATGGTTAGAAATCAAGGACTAATTAAATTTGATATGTGCTAGGAAAAAATTAAATCCTTAGGTCACAATGGCTGACAAGCTGAACCAGTCAGTAATGCAGTAACTGTTTGAAAGAACCAGCATGATGCCATGAGGCATGATTACACAAAGCAGAAGTGAGATAATCACCTCATTATGCACAACTCCAGTTAGACTTGTACTAGACAATCATGCTCAGCTCTGGATCTCACAGCTTATGAAAGATGCAGAGAACTTGGAGTGGATTCAGAGATGAGCTACAGGCAATTAAAACGCTAGCTACTCAGGCCTATGGCAACATCCAAGGAAGCTGTGATTCCTCAGCCTAGACACAGAAAGGCAGAGATGCAAACCATTTCCCAAATGCCACCCTAGACTACTATTCAACAAAAAGCTGAGGACCTCTGCAAAAGAGAAAGCAAAAGCTAATGTGCCTAAAATATAAAAGGAAGCATTTAAAGTTATATATAACAAACTTTCAGAGAGTGCTGGTTACCCACAGTGCTGATAAATTACCAAAGAAAAATGCTACTCTCCTTTAGTGATCTTGGAGAGACAGAGAAAAAAAGGACAAGAATCTATCAACCTACATCCCCATTCTTTTTCTATTTTTTTTTTTTTTTTTTTTTTTTGAGACAGAGTCTCACTCTGTTGCCCGGCTAGAGTGCCGTGGCATCAGCCTACCTCACAGCAACTTCAAACTCCTGGGCTCAAGCAATCCTTCTGCTTCAGCCTCCCGAGTAGCTGGGACTACAGGCAAGCACCGCCATGCCCAGCTAATTTCTTCTATATATATATTTTAGGTAACCAATTAATTTCTTTCTATTTATAGTAGAGACAGGGTCTCACTCTTGCTCAGGCTGGTTTCGAACTCCTGACCTCGAGCGATCCGCCCGCCTCGGCCTCCCAACCCACATCCCCCATTCTTATGATATAATCCGCATGAATGCCAGGGAATAAACTAAGATTTCTCCATTCAAATGATTCAGGAACTATACAAAGAAGGAAAACCAGCAGGATCTGTGTTTATAAAAATATACCAAAGAGACTCTGAAAGTTGCCTTGCAACCACAAATCCACTGAAAAATTATGCTGGACCACTTCATTTGCTATACCTAGTCGTCTACAGCTTTATATAAGTAGTCTAAAACCTCTGAAGTCTGCCCAGTTGGCAAGGCTTCCTCTATGGCTGTTCCTGAGTTAGCCTCAAGTGTTTAACCTGCTTTGTGTACTTCCCCTCAGAAATTAAAAAAGAAACAGTCCAGGCCCGGCGCAGTGGCTCACGCCTGTAATCCTAGCACTCTGGGAGGGCTGAGGCAGGCGGATTGCTTGAGGTCAGGAGTTCGAAACCAGCCTGAGCAAGAACGAGACCCCCGTCTCTACTATAAATAGAAAGAAATTAGTTGACCAACTAATATATATATAGAAAAAATTAGCTGGGCATGGTGGCGCATGCCTGTAGTCCCAGCTACTCGGGGAGGCTGAGGCAGGAGGATTGCTTGAGCCCAGGAGTTTGAGGTTGCTGTGAGCTAGGCTGACACCACAGCACTCACTCTAGCCTGGGCAACAAAGCGAGACTTTGTCTCAAAAAAAAAAAAAGAAACAAATATCCAAACAAATATCCAAAATCAATTATTTAATATAGCTTTACCTCCTCTTAGCTTAGAGTTAACTGCCCAACTTCCCCAAAACTGAAAAGCTAGATTTGTTTCTCTTTACCTTCAGTGCTGAGAAGGACGTGTGGTCCACTTCCGTAACTAAGGCTTTTAATCTTCTTTCCACATAAGGCTTCTAGCTTTTTGGGTACGAGCGTACTTTGGTTATCTCCAGTTCCTAGACAGTTACTATAGTTCAGTCCAAATACAAAGACCTAGAAAATAAGTGGTTTTGTTGGAGTCATTTGGCACAGGCTACAGTAAAAGCTCCTTTCTCTGCTCTGAAAATAAGACACTTCAAATTCAATTAGATAGCTCAGTAGGTAAGAAGGGACTGATAAGATTGTTAGAAAACACTCAACCTCTGCTGGCATTACTAAAGGTTTTAGAAAATTTGGCTATACCATGAAACTCAAACAGCAGTATGGAGTAGAGGGGTATAAATCACAACACTGAAAGAAGAGAGAAACTGTATCAAAGGCATGGCCTTCCTGAACTTCAGGTTCTCTTTATCCCCTACCTTTTCTCTGTCTTCGAATGGCACACTTTGAAGCCCAATCCCAAAGTAAGCCCTGAAACTAAACTCTAGGTTTTAAGAGAGACTTACCTCATCATTGTCAGTAACGTAGAGTGCTTCACTGGCTGAAGTGCCAAAGACACATGCTTTCCGAATAGATGCAATTTCTTGAGGTGACAGCAGAGTGAAGATTGGCCACTTCCCTACATCCACCATGACTCTGGCTTCGAGCAACTCCTATAAATAAGCCAACATCTCTGCTGGAACAAACAAAAAGGATTCCAAGAAGAAATCAAATAACCATTTGGCTAACTTTAAAAATAAAGGACCGGTTAACAAAAGCTAACAAAAGCCAATTCCAGAATAAATGAACCACCTTTAGTTAAATGATCACTCGCTTTCCCCGGCAACGCATCCAATCCTTCTACCTTCAAATCTGGGCCTGTTTCTATAATGATAGGACAACCTGCTAGAACCAGCTGTTTGTCTTGCTCACTTACTATCAGTGCTTATCTGTTCCACATGTGCTTCCTACTCATCTCTTCCTAGACCTCTAAAATAGCCAAGAGAGGGATGCTCAAGACCAAGTTCCTTTTGGCTCCAGCACCTTCAATAGCACCACACACAGAGGGAGCCTCAGGACTGGAGTATACTTAGCCAAGGCCTCAGTTCCCCCATCCAGAGAGCCTTTTCCCAGCAGCACCATCTTGGATGACGAAGACCAGGTACCTGCTCTCAGCCCCAAGTATCACACCACATATTCAATAAGGATTATTGATGGTGTTCATCACATCAGGCTCTTCCCTGTCACCACACAGCAGCCAGACAACTTGAGTAGCATCTGAATGTTCTGACGTGTGTGTATGTGTGTGTGTGTGTGTGTTGGTGGGGACAGGTAAAGGATTTGAGGGAGTAATACATGCACATGATAAAAAAAAAAATTGTTTCAAATAATACAAAAGAGTAGAAGAAACTAACTCTCCCTACCATCCCTCCCCGACCCTCATCTCAAAGACAACCACTATTGTAATCCACTGGTTTGTAATTTCTTCCAGAGACAGTGTACACTCATATAAGCACAATAGAAGCTTTTCTCCTTACTTAACAATATATCATAGAAATCATTCTATATTAGCACGTGTAGATACTTCATTTCTTTTCAATAGTACTACAGCATTCCATTACATGGATTTAACAATTTACCTGTTTCCTACTGAGAGATATTTAAGTCATTTCTAGTCTTTTGCTGGAACACCACTGCAATTATTGCTTGTATATATTATATGTGTCTTGTTTTATACATAAATTTCTAAGATAAATCCCTAAAAATGGAATTGCTAGGTCAAAGTCTAATAAGCTATTTTACCTATAATAGCAACTTCCAACTGTCCTCTAATACAGTGGTACCAATATATAAAATCGCCATCAATGCAAGACAGAGCCTGTTTACCCACGCCCTTCCCACACAGCCTATTACCATGGCATCTCCGTTTTGTGTAAACTGGCACTTCTCCTATGATAAGTGAGGCCAGGCATCATTTTTTTTTTTTTTGAGACAGAGTCTCGCTTTGTTGCCCAGGCTAGACTGAGTGCTGTGGCATCAGCCTAGCTCACAGCAACCTCAAACTCCTGGGCTCAAGCAATCCTGCTGCCTCAGCCTCCCAAGTAGCTGGGACTACAGACATGTGCCACCATGCCCAGCTAATTTTTTCTATATATATTAGTTGGCCAATTAATTTCTATTTGTAGTAGAGATGGGGTCTCGCTCTTGCTCAAGCTGGTTTCGAACTCCTGACCTCAAACAATCTGCCCACCTCGGCCTCCCAGAGTGCTAGAATTATAGGCGTGAGCCACCACGCCCGGCCAAGGCCAGGCATCATATAAAAAAGTAATCAGAATATAGCAACAATAACTAATTTACTGAGCACCAAGGGCCAAGCACTGTTCTAAGTGCTTTGACATTTATTAATTTATTTAATCCTCACTTTACCAATAAGGAAATAGAGTCAAAGAGACTTTAAGAATTTGCTTGAGCTCATAAGTGGCAGCATCAGGATCTGAGTCCAGGCAGTCTGGAGCTGCATACTGCTCTCTTCACCTGCTGCCAGCATATGATTAAGAAGGCCACATGTCAGCCTTCTATGTCATGTGCCTAGTTTTTCTACTGGATCATTGTTCTTTTTCTTGTTCTTGATTTATAAGTATTCTTTGTATCGTAAGATTATCTCCAATGCTTTTAAAAGAAGAAAACAAAACCAGGTGGCCCTCAAATGACCTGCCTGGTGCCTCTTACAACACAGATGGGAAAAGGAGTCACAAGAAGTCAAGCAATATAAACCCCTATAAGCAGGTAGATAAATTTCAAGAAAATCCAGATGCATATTCTCCTATAATATGAACCATATCAAGTTAGTCTTCAAAATCTTAAATTTTACATGATATAAAATTAGCCAAAAATATAAAATTCACTGCCTTTAAAATCACAACACAAAGGGCTCTTACCTTTCAAAACCATACAATTTCCTTACAGCAGTACAATTATTCTGAAATCATTAATCGGATGCAAACAGCTCTGACCTAAGGGTTTAGTAACCTACTGCGAGATCCAGCTAACTTTCATAATGACAGTGTATTATATGAACTGACTTAACCCACTGCTAAATTACCTCAAGCTTTATTTTACAAGGTATTTCTCCAAAGACTTGTAATTTAAGAGTCAATTTAAAGAACAGTCCATATATCTTACATGTCCGCACCCTTCACAAAAGAATAAAGCATCCCCAGTAGTCTTGGTATGGTGGAAACCAGAGTCCTGAGGCCTGTGCTTTGGTCCCAGGTCTACTTTGAACCAGTAAGTATGACATGCCATTTGCCTTTTTGAGCCTGGGTTTCCCACAAATCTGTCCCAGCTCTAAAAATTTTTGATTTTATGTTTTAAGATGCAATGAAGCAGCTATGGGGGATTACTTGAATGCATGAGGACAACAGAGGTAGTAATGTTGGCCAAGCAAGTTATTGTTCCTAGCAACACATCAGGCAAAGCAAATAAAGAGCAAGAAGGAAGAAACTAACAATTACTAAGAAGTTGCCTTGTCACAGACACTGTGTTAGGTAGCCACCCACACTCTTTCATTTAATCTTCACAATAATCTTGTAAGGAGGAAACTATAACTCAGTCTTTTTTCTTTGAGACAGAGTCTCACTTTGTTGACCAGGCTAGAGTGAGTGCCGTGGCATCAGCCTAGCTCACAGCAACCTCAAACTCCCGGGCTCAAGCAATCCTGCTGCCTCAGCCTCCCGAGTAGCTGGGACTACAGGCATGCGCCACCATGCCCAACTAATTTTTTCTATATATATTAGTTGGCCAATTAATTTCTTTCTATTTATAGTAGAGATGGGGTTTTGCTCTTGCTCAGGCTGGTTTCAAACTCCTAACCTCGAGCAATCCACCCACCTTGACCACCCACAGTGCTAGGATTACAGGCGTGAGCCACTGTGCCCGGCCTATAACTCATTCTTGACAGATGGAGAATGTAGCTCAGAGATGAAATGACTTGCCAAGGTCACAGTAAGTGGCACAGTCAGGATTCAACCCCCACCACTCTGATTCTTCTCATGGAGTACGTTGGTCCTGGCCCTTCAATGGCTAAACTCCAAACTCCACCATTACTTCCTTCTGACTTTGTCTTGTCTCATAAATGTACACCATCATCTGTTCTTAAAGTATTCCAAATATAAAAAGTATTCCTCCCTCCCCCCACCCCCCTGGCAAAAAAAGCATTGCCCCAAATGTCTCTGCCTAGATTTGCCTGGTTAAACCTCATGAATGTCTTTGTTTCCTTCACTCTTCCAACAACCTTTGGGAGGCCCTGGAGACCAAATGTGACCTCTCCCCTCAGGGAGTTCTCAAAAGTACAAGGTAGGCCAGGCGGGGTGGCTCATGCCTATAATCCTAGCACTCTGGGAGGCCGAGGCAGGTGGATCGCTCAAGGTCAGGAGTTCGAAACCCCATCTCTACTATAAATAGAAAGAAATTAATTGGCCAACTAATATATATAGAAAAAATCATCCAGGCATGGTGGTGCATGCCTGTAGTCCCAGCTACTCGGGAGGCTGAGGCAGTAGGATCACGTGAGGTTGCTGTGAGCTAGGCTCACGCTATGGCGCTCACTCTAGTCTGGGAAACAAAGCCAGACTCTGTCAAAAAAAAAATAAAAAATTACAAGGTACATCCTTGGGCTATAGACTGCTAAAGTATAAAGTATGTCTTCATTAGACCATGCTCAACCAGGGCAGGTGATGACATGCATAGTTATCTTAAGAATTCAGACAAGCTTCTCTAAGAGGTTTTGTGGAGCTACCAAAAAACCCAGGATATTATTACAGAACACATTCTAACATTTAGGGAAAAAAAAGAAAAAAAATTTAAAAAGAAAAGGAAATTAAAATTAAAAAGAAAAAAATAAAAAACAGGATATGCTACGCACCATACAGAACAACAGAATAGAGTCCTTAACTTGGGCATGTGGCATTTTCTTCCCAAGGCAGCAGAATATAAATGTGTATACCACCCAAATTTTCTAATTAACTCAAAATTACCACCATCGCCATTACAAGCTGATTATTGTGGTGAGATGTTTAATTATCCCACTTTCCTTAGGGCAGTGGCACCTTTTGCTATTAAGAAAACCATATAAGCATCATAATTCAATCAACTTCAAGAAGATTTAATGTTTGACCTTCCATCATAAAATTATGAAGTGTATATACTACCAACCCAGTAAGCAAAAGCAGGTGGGATAATTAAAAATTAACTAGTATTTAATCTGCTATAAAATCTACATCAGACTTAAGAACCCTATGGCTAACAATGACTCAAAAATACAAGAACAGTATTAGTTAGGACAGCTCTGATGTCATGACATCTACTAAATTTGCTGAAATATGAAGTAGAGGTATTAACAGATTTGTATGGATTTCATTTTAAAGGAATATAAATATAGTTCAACTAAATTTTACTTAAATCACCATTCCAGAGGTTGCAGAGTAATTTAGAGGCTTCAATTAGTAAGATTTGAAATGATTCTGTTATGAACTGAGGAAGCACTGATAGTAGGGAAAAACCTTACCTGGCTACCTTACCTGGCCAACCCAAGCCTTCCCTGATTTGCATCAAAGAGTGCTTAACTAAGTGCCCTAAGAAAAGTAGCTCAACTCTTTTCCTTCCCATGGTACTATGCATCCTCCAAATCATGAC